CCGGTCATCATCGACAGAAAGATGTTGTCTTGAAGCGGGAAGGCTGTATAAAGTGGGATCATGATTAAGTCATAGAGCAAGACGATCACGCCGAGCAAGTCCCAGCAGATCCGCTTTGGCGAGTTTGGGCTCAAAATCCATCGCGGTGTCTTTGCTTGAGAACGTATCTTCTTCTCCTGCTCCAGCTCCCTCGCAAATTCGTCCACGCCTTTCCACATTGTGCAAGGTGCATGCAAGTGCAACTGAAGACGCTTGTGAAAACAACCGGCAGATCGAGCAAGATGAACGCATGAAGATGCTGGCAAACCAGGCCGTATACAAAGAACATAACTATTTTTTAAGCCACAAAGCTCACGAGACGGGCCTGCACTTAAGGCCATATCTTCTTCCTCGCCATCTTCTCGCATGTGTATGGCGAAGTCATGTGCTCCTCCGAGATTGATTTCTTGCATTAGGTGTGGCAGAGTTGTGAGGCTTCCAGGGGGTCGGCCAAAAAGCGCGACTGAAGAGTGGTGGGATACTGGGAATCCGGTACGGTCCAGTGCTTGTGTGATGATTCGTTTGCTTAGCCTAGAGTGGCGGGTAGGCGAGTCAGTGAACTGTGGAGCTTTCTCGTCCTCAGCGAGCTCTAGCCTTTGGGGGGACTTAAGCTGGACGTCCGGTCTTGGTTCCCAAGAAATGTGCCGTCCAGCCGCAGGCTAAATGGAAATGCATTTGCTCACAGCGTATGGTGGACGAGTGCTCTCAGGAGGCAGAAGAGACAGCTACAACAAAGAAGGAAACCCCCAACCTTAATTCCAAAAATTGAACATTTGACCGATTCAGCTGAGGGTTTACGGCAGCAAAAGGGTAGGTAACAGGACACAGTTACGGGTGTTTCCAAGCACATTAGCTGCTATCCCACATCTGTATACAGCATGCGGCAGCCTGAAGCTCTCAACTGCTGCCAAGTGTCTGGTGTAAGTGCTCCAGAGATGGAACCTGGAAAGCGCTGACCCTCCAAGAAAACAAAAGGCTCGCCTTCAAGGCCAGGATCCAGGAAAGAAGCGCTGACGCAGCACGGTCCGTTTTTCGAGGTCCAAGGAACTGCCGGGGCAAGCTTCCACCAAAGCCGTGTATCTCCTCGTTTTCTGCAAGAGAGCCTGCGCGCATCTTGTTCCTCTTCTTTTCCTGTTTTTTGGGGTGGATTTTGGAGTTCCTTTCCAGCGTTCATGGCCAAGGGTCTTGAGTCCAGTGGTGTTTGGGCTGTTGGAGTCGGAACCCGGTTTGAGTAGCAAGGGGTGAGGCAGGACTTGTATTTTGCACATACGCACACATAAACATGCACACAGCATTTACTTCCCGATTCAAAACATCTGTCCCAGACGGGGAGCCTTCGGGCTTCGGACACTCCGTGGGCAGTTGATTCTGCGCTGGGGGCTAAGAAAAATTGCCAAGCTTTCCGGGTATTAGTACATGAGCACCCTTGCGGGGTTGCCTTGTTCGACACAGCTCGAGGCGCGGAGACAGATTCTCTGTTGAAACGGGGAGGTCAAAGTTCACGTCAGCTGAGCCACCCGAAGGCATTCTTAAGTTCTAGAGCCCAAAAACTTCGCTGAACTGCATGGCAAATATCTGTACTCGATGCCTTCATCCTGATTAAGGTCCCTAAATTATCCCACAAAAGTTTAAAGCCTTTGGCAAAGGAAGCTCCAGGTTTGACCGTTTGGGGCTAACGGATTGAAGGGCTTAGATGCAGCTCAGGCGTGGGACGCTAAACAGCCTTTTCATGTCGTGCCTGGCTATGTTGAAGGCTCTGAGACAGCGCAACTGCTGGCTACGCTAAACAGCCTAAACCCTCAACCGTAAGCGGAGACACGGACATACTGGGAGGTTGGAAGGACGGGTGTAGACCACAAAATCCCTGTCCGCAGACATGGCTGCTACGTCAAGTCATGCACAAATAACATCGCCACCAAACTCTTCTAGAGAAGCCGCTGCGAACTTGCGTGCTCACGGACGACATAGTAGTTATCAACACTTCTTATCCTTCTTATCAACATCTCACTAAAGTCGGTTTGCTTGTATGCGTACCCTGGAAATGGTGGACGTGGGGGCCCCGCCTTCCGAGAGTGTGAGCTTCAGGCTGGGGGCGTACCTCAACGTTGGCGTAAACCGAACCAAACACAACCGGAATCGCTGCTCAAGGCCACTCAGGAAATACCAGTTCTCACACAAGACTACCGACACGCTGAGTCAAGCCAACAACAAAAACGAAACACCAAAATCAAGACAAACTGAGCAACCGCGGTAGAAGTGGCAGCACTCGGAATCTTCACATAGCGATGAACGCATGAATCAGCAGCAGTGACACGTTGAAAACGGCATCGGCACAAAACTATGGGTAGTATCCCAATTACCATCTGCATTCTAGTCATCCCGAGCTTGCCATCATCATCAGGCTGTACTTGGAACCTAGCACATCTCGGCCTTCTTTGCTAACTTCGTGAGGAGCGGGAAGCAAGCCAAAGGCATTGCTCCGTTAGAGTCTCCCAAAATCCTTCGAACCTGGTGCCACGAATACTGAACTGAAAGCCTGACTCTCCTGCGCGCGATATGCCGTCACAACACAAATTCCTAGCCGAACCCTGAACCATCAAGATCATCATAAAGTGCTCACAGAAACCGCGGCCGCCAGCCCCACCCCTGCTGCAAAACAATGTTCACGGCCACACTCAGAGTCCTCATCCGATCAGGACACGAATCCGACAGGCAGCAATTGCTACGGGCTACGGAAGCGTGCCGGAAATTTTCTCATCAAAAATAACCCTTCAAAGGGACTGCCCAGAGCATTGATAAGTGGACCGTGCCTTCCAAACAGGGAAACGGATATTGCCCTCGAGGACAGAGCAAACAAACCCGTTTAGTGTGCAATTCTCCAAGCCATCCACCTCTTGACCGGTGTGTGGTTGGAGGAGGTGGCAGCAGATTCGCATTCGCCAGGTTTCGGATGGACGGTGGATGGGTCAGCCGCTTCACTGCATTCGGCGAATGTTGGAGGCAACGGCAGGATCACCTCAGCTGGCAGGCTCTTGTGATTTGAACATTGCCCCGCTCTGCGACTACATCGATACACATCCAATGCTCCTTGCAAACCATGCAAACATGAAAGCAATGCGCTGCACCTACCTAGCAGCTTATTGATAGTCGTCTCTCATGTTACACTGTATGAACAAGCGGACGTGCATTGCAGGAGCAAACGTCCTGGTCCGAGTGTCGAAAGGCGAACGGTACACGGTCGCAAAGGGTCGAGTCTGCGGTTAACTTACTGTTGCTTTTCTCTGTCGTCCGTGCGCCTAGTAGGTTATTACTGAGGATCAACAGCAGAGATGTTCTACGTCGGCACTTGCAGCAAAGCCGGAGTCTTTCGGACGGAAGTCTTCGCATGTGATGGAGCTTTCCATCGGCTTTTGGGGACCGACATGATTTGAGCACCTCGTTGTTTGGGGAGTCAGATGTAATGCCATTTAGGTGGATCAAAACACGGAAACAATTTGTTTGGACCTCGCATTTCTTTATGTAGCCGCAAAGAAGTCCATGTCTCGAGAAATTCCAAAAGTTGCACTTCACGCCTTCGTCTGACCGTGTTCAGACCTAGTAGCAGCACTCAGACGCTCATGTTAGAGTTGCAAGGCTTCTGGATCCGAAAGCGGATCGCACTGAGGCAAATGGCCCGGTCCGTGGCAGTCTCACTGGGTGGTGGCTGTATCGGCTCTTCTTTTGCTGCTGTCACCTGCCAAGGACTCAAGAAAGCCACGAACACATCCACACTCTGATGAAGAACCTCACGATTCCTTGCCGTACATCTCTAACCGCTCACTGTGTGAGCGCGCCTCCTTCTCATGTGCTGCCAGGATCTCTGACTCCAAGGCTCTGAGGAGCCGATCCTGGGCGGAGATGTGGGCGGAGAATCTCCGGTCTCCCCCCAGGGTCTGCGGAGGGGTGAAGACTTCAGTGTTTCGCGGAGACTGCGGGTATTGCAGAAGAACGAAAGCTCGGAACGAGTTCTGCCACCGGTGGCAAGCTCGGATGACGTTCATGTTGGCAGGTACACCGTCAAACACCGCCAACAAGCGACCCACTGGAAGGCAGGAGTACGTGGAGGTAGCACAACCAAACAACTCCAAAAGCAGCGCGCATCCTAGACTCTTCATGGAAGCACTCGCTCGTTTATCAGCATCATATCTCTCAAAATAAAACTGAACTTCAATCTGGGCTCTATCTCCACGCTGAATCTGCTTGGTTCGACCATCCCTTCTGGAACGGTGCCGCAGCCGGACTTGCTTCCCATGATGCTTTCGTGAGCCACAAAGCAGCAGCGAAGCAGTCCCTCCGAGTCAATTAAAGTCGGCAGGTTGCATTTGTCTACTGGTTCCTTGCAGCCAGCGCAAATGCAGTTTCTCTGATAGGTTATTGCTTGATAGCATGGTCAGACCTTCACCCCTTCACTGCTTTTCCTGACAATCGTCGAAAACAACAAAGCGAAAGGCCTCAACTCGACATGCAAAGTCTCGCATCCTTCACCCTTAGCCCTAAGTATTTCTGCAACTGGCTTGCGACAATGCCCATGAAGCAACAACCCAAACAGAATTGTGATGACAACAAGAGTGACGATGGCTGCCATGATGTTGTTGTGCAAGGGCCGGGCCTGTGTATTGCACGGATACCAGAATTTTTGTGCAACATTTGCACGCCCAGGACACACCGTAAGGAAGCTCGACCGTAGCCAGTATTCCTCCGGATCTGTTCCTTACGAAGTTACCTTCGCTGCCCAACGAAAGTCCGAGACCTCAGCAAGGGTAAGCCCTAAAAGCTCCCTTGCCTTTGCAAGTCCTGATTTTCCGGACCCAAACCTAAGAGGCCCTTCGGCCTGAAACCTTTTCGAAGCCCCAATAGAGAGAGAGAGAGAGAGAGAGAGAGAGAGAAAGCACCACAAAACTCAACGAAAGCCGCCGAAAGGCTCGCTTCGTAGGCCGGCCTGTGCAGTTTGAAGGCACAAGACTGGTTGCACACTGTGTCTGCAATCGGCATCGCTCGTGCTACTATGACTGAACCCCATGATTTCAGCGGTTTCTTTGGATGTTGCAAATTTACGGCTTCAGGGCCTCAGGCATTTGGCACAGGGTGCTGGAATTGGGAATTTGTGCTCTTAGGCTGTGGGTTTCGGGTGTTGGAGTTGGGGTTTCGAGCAGTTCGCTTCAAAATTTACCAGCGGTTCGTCCACGTGGGCGATTCCCGCACGTGACGGGCTTCCAGTCCACCAAAATGTGCTTCCTGCCTTTTTGCGCAAGCTCGTGCCGTAGTGTATGGAGAAAGTTCTCGATGCCTGACTGCCTGACTGTACGACATGGTATACTAGCTGCTGCTTGCACCAACGACAACGACCTCTTGAAAAGCACCTGCAGGTATCTGCGAGGGGTTCTCAGTGCAACTTTACCAGAGCAGCCTTAATATCATCCGGTTCCTGCTTTGTGCTCGCAATGCCGGTGCCTCATTTTCATTGATTCATGTGTGGTCTCGTCAAAGAGCCTATTGAGTGCAATATAGAGCTCGTACTATGCCACAGCCTCGTATGCTGGGCACAGTAAAAGGTAATCTACTGTGTTGACAAGCGGGCACGCTGAAACGACAACCAATGAGGGATCATAACTTGGTCCGTGATTTCCAGGTTACCTGACTTCGGGCACTGCCTAGCTGGCTCTGCTACTTTCCAGGATGTTCAGAGTTACGAAGTAAAGGTTGGGGCTTTGAGGGGTGTGGAGGGATGAAAACCGGAGGGTGTAGGGTGGGGGCATTCGACTTAGTTGGGGCTGCCTGTCGATCAAGTCGAGGACAGGCTGCAGTCCATCCATGATGCCGCGAAGCATTCTCGACCTGCTTCACAGCTCCTTTTTGTTCAGACCCGTTGTGCGCCTGCTGGGTAATTCATGCGACTTCTGAGAGTCTTCAGGCTTCAGTGTAGGACTTATCCCGTAAGAGTTTGCAGTTGGGATGGTGCCAGGTTGGGCTTCGTTCGGGGTGCGGTTTGAGCGTGTTGGCGAGTCAGGGGCAGCCCTCACCTTGCCATCAATGCACTATTGGGCCAGTCAAAATCAAAACCCCAACGGAGGCAACACAAGACGACCCGTTTACCCTGCATGGTTTTAGTCTTAGGGTGTTTGGATAAGAGGGTCCATACACCATTACACTTTTTCTCAGGGACCCTAGCTTTGGATCCATCCTCCCATGCTGTCCGAGGCACAGCCACACAGGGCTACCGCCCACATGCGGTGCATCCCACCAAAGGAGGTCCTCGCGTGAAGGCATCCGCGGAGCGATTTGTTCAGCCGGGCTTCATTACCAATATGCTCAGTGACTGGGTTTAAGAACTTCTGACCTTGATCTGTAGTTTAGGCCTCGCCTTCGAGTGTATGAGACTACCAGAAGCATCAACATAATATTGCAACCGCATTGTACGGCCAATCGCATACATGACCGCGAAACTGTTACAGAGCAGCGGAGAAGGATCGACCACAGCACCACAACAAAGGACGAAGCACAGCAAAGCAATGCACTAACCAGCGCAATTGAACGCGGCCTTGAAATGAGGCGATGATGTGGCTAAGTCTCGAGGCCATGATCATCCGCGAGACAAAGAAACATTGCTCGGAGAGTTGGGTTCTCTTTGTGGAGCCCCAACGTGCGACTGCTGGAATCCTGCTTTGGCACAGGTACAGAAGGTCATGAAACCTAATTTGGGCAGCCTTATCCTCAACTGCAAAAGCTACTTGTCATCGAAACCCCGCGAGACTCTCCAGGCCGACGAAAACCCATTGTGGTTGATTACAACTAAGGAACAACTGCAAGACGGAAATTCTGCGAAACCCGGATTGCAACCCGGGCACAAGATAGGCAGCGTGGGGCCATGGCGCAGCGGTGAGGTTGTTCTTTGTGGGGTCCTTTTCATCCCGAAAATGCCCTCTACATCCTGAGCTGCACTCGTCCCCCCACCTATGAAAGCCCCGTAAGCTTTTATCCCGACAAGACAAACACCAATTTAGAAACCTTATAACTCCGCCCATATGGCATGTGTTACACATGCGCATTGCAAGCCCGACTTGGAGCTGAGCTGAGTTTGGGACTGGCCCTCGCTTGAGTTAAGGCAAAGCTGCCCCTACGTGACAGGGCAAGAAAGGGCTTTGCGCGCGTCACGGTCGCAACACACAGACATTTTTAAAACTCAGTAATTGCCAGTTCCAGCGAGAAGACAGCCTGATAATCAACACCTTAAAAGAAAACGGTCCTAAGGTGACAAAATATTCAGCCTTGAACCACAATCCACCAAGTGCTAATCTGGAGTAAACCCCAAACCTGTTGCAGAGAGTCTGTCTGTCGCATGACGAGATTCGACAAATTTGAGCGGGATGTGCTGCCAAGGTCCGTAGAACGTCCTCGGTGGGATTTTTCGTTAAGATGGCGTGGATTTACATCGTTTGGGCGATTTACGCTTCAGAGTTCTAGGCCTTGATACGGAGTGTAGTTCGAACCTGATGTATACCGAAGCTGAAAGCTTTTGCGTATTTTTTGGGGCGCGCGGGATCTTTGGTTTGTTGCTGGTGTTTTGGGCTTTGGCCTTGCTTGTGGTTTCGTTGCGTCGTCGGCTGATGTTTGGGATTCTGGTAATCACTTCCGCGAGGCTGCGTGTTTCAATGGCACCGATGCTTGTGGGTGTTACTCCTCCCACTGCCAATGCTGCTGCTGCTGCGCTGTTGCTATTACAACTACTACTACCACCACCACCACCAAGACTAAACCTCTGTAAACGAAGGCCAGGAAGTCAGGGCTTGACGAACCTCAGCCTGTGCCTCCACGGCTTGCTCCAGAGCAGGGCTGATCACGAAGACATTCAGGAGCTGGGGGAAGTAGTTGTTGATTGCGGCTTCATGGTTCGCGTCACTCGGTGCAGTTTCGTTTGCACCGTTGTAGGGGACGAAGGCCATTCAAGCAAACTGCGGCTGATGACCTGAAGTTTCAGTTGTACAGCTAGGCCGTTAATGTAAGGGCATTCATAGTTAGACTAAGGCAGAACTTCTTCATCTTAAAGCAACTGTAACTTTCGTAGGGTACTTTCTAACCTTTTCAGATTTATCGAAATTTTAGAGATCCAAGCGGTTTAGAACGGTTGAAAGATCAACGTTTTTTGCAACATGAATAATCGTGCTAATAGTAACGGCAGAAGTACCGCTAGCACGAGTGCTGCCAGTAGTACATGTAATATGACGTAATCTTGATGGTCGCGGTCGGTCATGATGGTAGTAAGAGGAGAACTAGATAGCAGCAGTACCAGCACTTTTGCTTAGTAGGTCATTGTCGGTCAGCTAGTAGTCGTGGGAGTAGGAGTAGGAGTAGGAGTAGGAGAAGGAGTAGGAGCAGTAG